GTTAGACATCCTTTCTAGATATTTTTACCTTATACCAAAAGAATGAAATGCATCTTTTTATCAAGAAAGAATAATTTTCTTGAAGCTAGAGCATTTTCACTTTTGAGCAATAATATCAACATTAACTATTGATTCAACCTTTGTCAAGCAAATTCAATTAAGTATGTCTTTTGATCCTCTTATCTATGATATTAAGAATAATTCTTCTAAGTCTCATGATACTTCTAAGTTCAAGTTTAAGAACAACCTACTCTATTTAGAAAAATGATTATATATTCTAGAAGGTGGAGATTGATTACATATTCTTTAAACTCATCATCACTTTCAAACAACTGGATATTTTAGATATAATAAGACTTTGGAGCTAATATTGATAGATTTTTAGTAGCTTCAAATATAAAATGCAATCAAAAACTTTGTATAATCATATATTACTTGTTCAAAATCCAAACCTCCTTGCCATCGAATTTATGGACTTCTTTAGCCATTACATATTCCAGAATAACTATGGTCTTCTGTTTCTATGGATTTTATCACAGATCTTTTAGTCTCAAATTTTTATGATTCTATATTTATAGTAGTAGATTATCTTACCAAGATGGCACATTTTGTACTATATATAAAATCTATTAGAGATAAAGAAACAACTAAATTTTTTCTTAACATCTATCGCTATTATGGATTGTTTAAAAATATTATATTGAATAGAAGGACTCAATTTGTATCAAGATTTTTAAAATAAATATAAAGCTCTCTTTGACTTTTTATCTTTAAATTGATAGACAAAAAAATCAAGTGAATCAAGTTTTGAAGCATTACTTGAAGTGTACTATCAATTATCATGAAGGTAATTAGACAATTCTTTTACTATTGGAAAAGTTTATGTACAATAATTTGATACATTTTTCCATTCAATATACACCTTTCATCGTTAATTATGATTATCATCTGCGACTTGATACTTTTAACTTTTTAAAAGTTGATAATCCTACGACAAAAGATGTGATAAATCATTTATTAGAGCTACATGCAACAATAAAGGCATAATTAAAGGGAGCTCAAGAACAACAAAAGATTAAGACAAATGCCTATTGGAAGGAACAACCACAATTCAATGTAGATGACAAGATATGGTTACTTCATCACAATATCAAGATTACTTATCAATGTAATAAGTTGGACTATTATATACTTAAATCTTTTTATATTAGTGAACAAATCAATGATATTACTTATATATTTTATCTATCAAAATCTATGAAGATCTACCTCGTATTTCATGTATCTCTTCTTGAATCATATAAGATAGTGAATATCTCAAAAAAAAGACAAATGTCACTTCTTCCTATAGAAGTGGATAATAATCAAGAGTTTGAAGTAAAAAAAGTCTTAGATTTAAGGTGGAACCAAAAAAATTTTAAGTATCTTATTTATTCACATATATATGATATTAATGAATGTACATGGAAGCCAGCAAAGAATCCTACAAATGCAGCAAAGAAAGTTGAAGCTTTTTATCAATGGCATCCATCAAAACTAAGATATTGAATAAAAAATCTTTACTATAAAAAAAATAAAAAAATAAAAAAATAAAAAAATAAAAAAAAAAATCTAAAAAATATAACATTCTACCTTCTACCTTTTTTTGTAACTTCTATATATTTGTGATGCTAAAGAGATGGAGAACCAACAACCAATAGATTCAACTCAAGAGCTTTCACTTACTGACTTACTAGAGGAGACATTGTAATTGTCACAATCTTCAAGATGACGTAATCGAGATGAAGATCCTCAAGAACATGTACTTCTTCAAATAGATGGTGAGATACAATGTCTTTGATATTACAATCTTAGAAGAGACTTTCAATGTTTGGTGATTTTATTAGAGATAGAAACAATTCCTAACATTGTTCCAAATATTTTTTTTGAAGAAAGTTACAAAGTCCTCAACAATGACCAAATAATAGGGTGGTCTTTTTATCGTGGTATGGAACACTATTGATGGTTGAAAAGACCTATTAACTATCTTCGAAGAGAATAAAGATCAAAGTATGCAGCAAATATAATTTATTACATCTTAAATTTCATCAATACATGATGACTGTTCTTTGTAGAACTTATCTCTAGAATAGAGGGTAACATTATGGATATACATACATATTCTAATAAATACCTATATGATTAGATAGAAATAAGTAAAAATAAATAAAAGTAGATTAATTTCATAATACCTTCTAAAGGAGCTTTTTAGAAGCTTCATAGATGTTATTTTGACTTTACATGTGTTTATAGTTAATTGATAGGTTAGAAACTTGGACAACAAGTTAATTACATATTGGTAGCTTGTGGAAAAAGGTAATTATGTGGCCTACATATAGAAAACTTGCCTTGCAAGTTAAAATATGTATCTTGCAAAGTCAACATGTTTTGAAGGTCCTATAGGACATCACCATATAGCTCTTAGTTAAGGATATATATGGAGGCAAGAGTGAAGTCTTCTTCACTCTAATCAATGCCTTTCTAATCTTTAGTCTTATTTTAAGTCTTTCTAGTCTTCTTGTTTTTAATAATAGTCATTCTAGTTTAATATTATATCATCTTTGAGTAACTTTCTAGTTATTTTTAGTAACACAAGAATATATTGAGTATTTCTTTCTTCGAGATTTATGTCTTTGATACCATATAAGAAGAATTTTACTCTTTTATGAAAAATAAGACTTAAGTCATCACTAAGGTTCTATCAAACATACATGCCACTTCATACAAATAGATGTTTAAAGCCAAATAAATAACAATTAAAATTAATCCAACAAAGACTAGATTGAAGACTCTTCTTTTAGTTAAAAGACTTGAATAATATAAAAGTATTGATTATAATAATATATTTATATCCATAATAAGATAATCCATATTAAAGGTAATTATTGCATTTATTATATTAAAAATTTGGAGCATTAATTATATAGATATCATCACTACATTCTTTAAAAAAATACTTAATGAATTCATATACATGTAACAATCAATTAGATTTGAAGAAATAAGATTATAACACCTTTTGTACAAATTGTTTAGATCTATTTACAAACTATAGAAAATATCCTCGCTTCCTCTCATTCTCCTCTCTCCTCTCTTTTTATGGCATCAAAAAAATTGATGTATATCTTTAAAGTATTGAATGGATATATAATAAATCAAATCTTAATCTCTACCACTCTATTAAAGATGCTTTTGTTATAATCTTTTTCTTCTATATTGATGATCTTTTTATTACTAAAAATAATAATAAATATACTAATAAAATCAAATTATAAATAAATTATGAAGTACCTAGAAAAAAGAAAAAAATAATTAAGAATTAAGTTTGAACACATGTCCAATGAGATGTTTTTTCATCAATATTCTTACTCTTAAGAAATATTCAATGAATTTAGTATAGAAAATTACTTATTTAAGTACATTCTTCTACATGACAGATTTATTACTTAATCCAATATATGAACTTAACTAATTGACACCACTTAATATTGCATGATGATGTCATAAACATAATCAACATCAATAGTTATTGAAATAAATAAAATTATATAGAAATAAATAAAAGTAAATAAATTATATAATATCTTCTAGAAAAGCTTTTTAGAAGCTTGATAGATGTGATTTTGACTTCATACATATAAGTGATTGATAGATTAAAAACCTTGCCATCAAGTTGGCCATGTATTGCATATGTTGGCTATTGGTATAAGTTGGCCATATATTGCATATATTGGCTATTGATATAAGTTGGCCATGTAATGCATATATAAAAAACTTACCTTCCAAATTAAATATGTGACTTAAAAATTAAACACATTTTAGAGGTTCACATAATTTTTTATCATATCTCTTTGAAAAATATCTTACTTATTTATTTACATTCTTCAAGTTCTTGTCCTTGACAAATAATTGATAAACTTTTATTCTTTATTAAGACAAGATCTAACCTATCATATTTAATAGATATTATTGTTAAGATTATGGCTAAGCCACAGTAGTAATGTCTAAAAGCAATCAAGCATATTTTGAAATATATAAAGAAGACACATGATTTTAAATTTTATTTTCAACTTTCTTTAAAACTTGCTTTTAAGGAATTCATAGATATAAATTATTTAGTTGCCTTGAAATTCAATGCATTATTGCTAAATATGTATTCAAGATTAATTATAGACTAATTGTCTAATCCAACAAATAGTAGTCAATTCTTTCTGATAATACTATAAAGATAGAATACAAGATAATCTTGAAAGCCACCAAAGAAGAAATTTATCTACAAAGGCTACTCATTAAATCATACAATTCATTTCTATCCAAGATACTAATGCATTCTCCAAATGAATCAATTCAATTAAACCTTTCTGAAGCTCACATTTCCACAATACATGATTTTTATCTCAACTGCAATAACATGGATTCAATTTGCCTTGTTCAAAATCTCATACTTCACATAACAAGTAAACGTATTAAAGAAAGGCATCACTTTATACAAGAACAAATATTGGAAAAAAAAAAAAAAAAAAAAAAAAAAAATCTCTTTGAAACATGTCATCATCAAAATACAACACTCACATTTTTTTACAAAACAAGTTACTATACAATGTTTTGAGAACCCTCATTATTTCATTGAGATACACTTTCTTATAAAATTACAAATATATGTAATTACATAATTCACTATTCTAAAACTCATGATGTCATAACCAATCCCTAAATTAACATCTCTAATAATTACAACTTTGTATCAAGATTCACAACAAAATGTTGATTCTATAAACAATTAGTTGTGCTTGTTGTGTGGATGCAAAATATGCCAAAATTAGTCCTTAATATTACTACAAGATTAGTTAGTCCATTAAGTACCTTCCCATAGATTTAGGATTTTGACTAGGGACATCCATTGTCCTTTAAGTTCAAGATGATGTGCTCTTGTTAGCATCACAATTAGTTTGGATCTAGTCTGTATAAATCCTCATTTATTTTCTTCAGTTTCAAATTCTAAGACCGTTACACGTTCAGCATTTAACCCTCGAAGACCGATCAAATTCGAAAAAGAACACACGCGCACAATCTGCCCAATTCGCTTGCACATCCAACATAGTCGTCACTGAAGATTTGACAACGTCACAAGCAGATACACGTCTGTAACGGGGATCGCAATTTAAGGTGCAATGCCAAGACCCTTGCTGCTGGGATTGTGAAGTCAACGTGGCATAACTCGTTCTCTTTCGAGGTGTAGTGACTTCACTTGCTATGTATTTAAGCCTCGTACCAACAGTGTGAACAGGTACTTCATGATGTCTCCCTCATATTCTTCATTTGACATAGACAGAAGATTGAAGCAACTTTGACAAAAGATTCGGAGGCCTCAAAGGCCTGCTCCCATGGTAAAACTCCTATACCTGCTCAGAAGCTACAACTTCTTACGCATTCATTGTACTTCGCGTCCCAGGATAACCTTCAATTCTACAGGCTTCTCGACACTATAATACGCGCCCAGGCCATCGCAGCATAGAGGTAATGTTTTGCCGTGATTTCCGATTGTCTGTCTGAGATATAAACTGAAATTTTAAGTATTGATCCCTCAAATTCTCGGCAGTATCATTGGGTCTCCTTGGCAAGACTTGCTAAAAACAGCTGCTGCATTTGATTCACATACCATAAATCGATTTTCAGCACCGCGGCGTAGGAACAAAGCATTCCACAGGTCTAAAGACGTCAGCTGGACTTTCATGATCTACAGGCCTTATAAATCTCAAGAGAACCAAAACTAGCCGGGGTTTTCTTTTCAACGACTAGGCGGTGAATCTCTGAAAAAATACTGAGATAGAGGTTGCTGATACGGTAACGAACTCTGTTTTCTGCTCATATACGAAGCTGGGGCTCCAGAAGGTGTTCGCATCTTAAACCTGGGAGACATCTCTTTCGGAGTCTGAGGAGCACTTCCCCGAGGAGTACCAGGAGCAGTGCCATAAACACTTGCAGGTGCACTGCCAAATGCAGGCAAGCTTCGTTCTGGTCTTTTTTCAGAAATAGCGGATATATCCCTCTCAAGGTAAGTACAATAGCTCTCGAACACACTAATTGTGACGGACAACTTAAAATCCAGGCGAAACAAAAACTCAAGCTCAAGGCGATTTAACTCAACGACACTCACACCTCCGACCCTAGCAAAGAAAGCGTTGTTGAAGTGCCTGCATACAAGAAATTGGGAGTAGATCAGTTGAGGTTGAGCTGTAAACATTTGTCAAAAGTGAAACAAAAGCCTAAACATCGATTATACGAGTTGATTGTCAGCGACACGAACACAAAAATTACTACACGCTACAAGAGGCCATTCGCTCGGTATAAACATGAATACTTGGTAAATCGCTGAGGCCATGGGTATGATTCAGCATCCTATCGAAGCATTCACAACTGCCACGATGGAGATATTACTCGCAGAGAAATGTCAGTTCAGAGGTTTTTGCCAACACGAAATGATGATAAAATACACACTCAATTACTGCACTTGGAATCCAAAAATTACAATCGCAGGATTCTTACGCTAACCGAAAGCTCTTGCTATGTTATTTTCATCGGCGGAGGACCTATCCAGTCCACGGTGAAACGGTGATTTATGTCCACAACCAATTGTGATCAACACCATTAATGCAGCACATGACAGGGACGTAATAACTCCAGTACCTTCTAAACATTATGATATCTAAAAATGGACTAGAATGAGGAGGTTGAACTAGGGCCTATCATTCGAGACACCACACTTGAAGGGCATCCCACGCCTCAAAAACGCAAAACAGAAATGATGAATATAAATGTAACAACGAAAGAGGGTGCAATAGAACAGCTAGTAGAACCAACTAAGTAGGTTACCCTCGAGGGTATCAATTTTTGAATGTGTTCCTACTAGCTGTTCAAAAAGTGAAACGCTCGAGGGTAAACTATGTCGGCAAAAGACTTCCCTTAAATCCCCAATTACAGATTCTCTAAATAACGAAGAACTAAAAAAATGAAGTAAACAAACGTACAGTGTGCAAAATAATAGAATTCCTCATCGCAGGGATGAGCAGGAATAGATAGTCTCCGGTTAGTAGAGACTTACACATCATCGAGCATTTTCGTGGCCACCATAACGCTCGTCACAAGCAATCTGTGCACGTTGAGAGTAGTGACTAGCAAATCCGGTTGCCGGTGGACCAGGCGATCCAAGAACACGTATGCAACGACAAAGCAAGACGGACTGCAATTAGTATACTTAAAAATGCGCTCCAAATACTTCGCAATGCTAATGCTGGGGGCTCTCAACCCATGGAAAATTGTTAATTTCTTGCCCTGCTGCGAAGGCGCGTTGACGAATAGTTCATTCCTGGTGACAAGGCGGTCAAGAACAGCTGCCAGAACATTCAAAACCTTAGGGGTCTCTTTTTCCGTAGGTGCATTGGAGTCTTCATCTGCATCAGGAACTTCGAAAGTGAGAGACGACGAGCCTTGGGAGGATGTGACTTTCCTAGAGCTTCTGATAGTACTAACCGACAACTGCATCCGCAACGCATTCACGTCAGGTACACCATCTTCATCTTCTCTCCCGACGCTCCCTGAGAACCCCAGTGTTCTGCACGCGGGCGGCATCCTTCCCGTCTCGTACGCCAGTGCCACAACCTAACTCCAGCTCTCTCACCCTGTTTCCAATCTCAGTCAAAGACGCTCTTGTCTAACCATACCCAGATGTTCTGATCTACTCGTCATCACAACCTTTCCACGCAGTTCCTTCCAATCTACCTCCATGGTCACCCCTGGACAAAATTCAGAAAACCTGGTGCATTTAAGAACAAGTTTCCTCGCACTGTCCAACAGCCCGGATCGAAAAAGAAAAAAAACCGGCATAATCAGTCACTTAGACCGAGCCACATCGTCGTCATAGACCATCTCCATTTCACAGATGGCGCAAGATTCCTCGTCTCTAAGACGTTTGAAAGCACACAACACTCCCGCTGGACAAGAATATTTCAAAACATCTCTTGATAGCTCACGAGTCAACAAGCTGACAGATAACGCATAGGAATGCGAGAAAGATAGATCATGGAAGCCTCAGATTTGAAACTTGACATGTGGGAGGCAGGAGAGTTAAACGCATCCTAAGCTCCGGAGAGCGACAGGCGCGAATTATAGTCATGAGCCTTGTGAGCTCACGTCAAGTCGTATCATCCAGGAATTAACGGGAAACGAAAAGGAGCCGGCCCGGAGATTTATGGCAGAGAAATACGGTAACAAGGAAGTGGTACAACGCAGAACAAGAACCATCAAGATGTGGAAAGCAAGCACACCAATGAAATTCAGAGAACGCACAAAAAGGTCGCGGGGAACGGAGGCGCTGCAACTTAGGATCCCGAGGGCCCGCCTTCGAGCAGCATTATCACCAACCTTGCGATCAAGATAATGAGGCATGCATTTTCCTCACGATGCCAAGCGCCCACACAGGATAGGTGAAGAATCACAAATACAAACACAAGTAAATTTTTCGAATCCTACAATCCAGGAGCGGCGCAGCAACTTGCTCTCTCACAAACCTATAAATCTGGAATTTCTGCAGCACACCATAAGAAACAAAGTAGTTAGCGAAAAAAAAAAAAAAAAAAAAAAAAAAACGAATCCACGGCAATTAGACTCTACCTCGGAGAAAGAGAAAGAGTCCTCCTCGCACACTGACGGAGTACCCAGTCCATGGAGAAATCTAGCAGGGCCATAGATTTACAATGATAGCAAGTACAAGCAAAGCGTGAAAGTTGCCGAAAGGGATAAATAAAATAAAAAAGGATCGCTAACTGACAGTTTGGATCGTTTCAAATGGTAGCAATGCATCGAACGACGCCATATCCCAGCTGGTGTTGAATACTGTGACGAACTCGTAAGAATATGCCTTCAAAAACGAAATTGCTGGGAAAGATTACGTACAACCGGCTTGTCCGGTTAATTATCACCTGCTGTTACCGGTTATTATCCCACCTCAGTTACCACCACTGTTAACTACTTTCATCCATCTTACAGCTTGTCATGATAATGGAAGCTAATTATAGAACACGACTGAGCCGAGTTCGATGGCGAAGATCATCCAATATTTTGGATGGATGGATGAATGAGTTTATGGATAAATTTTTGATGTATCATCCATCCAGTGGTCGAATTTTGAAGAACCAATGTTCTTTGAGACGACTAAACAAAACAAAACAAAAAAAGTAACGTAATGTAATGTATTTAGGTTGAGATCTACTATGGAGAAATTACTTCTTTTTCTTTCTTTTTTACACTAATGTTTGGGATTGATGCTTGGAAACTGTAATTGGCACCATCAAACATATGCACAGAGTAATATAATTAAACGGTATACTAATAAAATGACAATCATTGAGGTGAAGAGAAATATCCATTCCAATGTTAGATGCAGCTCCAAATACATGCATGTATATATAAGTTTTAAACTTATTATTTAATTTAAAGTAATTAATTTTTTAAAATTTAACATGATATGATTAACTTGGTGTAACAAATTTGCAGCTTTTGAAATATTATGCAAATATATTGAAATTATGAATGTCGTTTTCAGGCCACAGTTTATTGTTTTGATTAACTACAGAAGTATTATTTATCTTTTAAATAAATGCATAACCTTTGAATGGAGAGTTTTATTTAAATGATACTATGCTCCTCTGAGCCAAATTCTTGGGACTACATTCATTGAAAATTGTACAAACTTGGTCACAAGGTCTTATAACCAATATCATGTAAACATTGTCTAGCATCATATATTTTGTGACTAATTCAAATAATAATGAAAATCATGTCTACTTTTTGAATTCCAAGCTAATATGATATGCAACCATCCAAAAAAAATTCAAGCTAGTTACACTTCTTTTATATACAGTAAGATATATGCAATATCCAAAAATATATATGTAAACAAAATAAAAACAACTAGTAGACATTGTTCTCATTTGTAAAAGCCCAATGACTTTCTGGAAGTTGTATTCCATATCCTTTCATTCATCATAAATACAACTTGTGAACCTGAACCAATTCCAAACACTTCAACATAAAGTCTAATATCTCTACATAAACACCAAGACTGAGAAACACAAATGAATTTTCACATGGTCAATTAATAGAAAATAAGGCAAGTAGCAACAATTTCTTATTTTTTCCTTTTTCTTTCCCTTCACATTTCTTTCAATTGATTCTTTCTTTCTTCTCCTATTTTTCTTTTATTTCTCACAAAAAAATGTGAGAAGGGCCTGGATGTCACATGTGCCCTGTTTAGGCCACTCCATTCCAAAAGTACAACCATGTTTAGAGTGCCTTTGGCACTTTTTCCCAAGTACTTGTACAGAACACCCATTCTGCACACAGGGTCCAGTAGGACTATGCTCCTCCTCAAGGTGGACCCATAAAACCCATTTGCCCTAATGCATGACTCAGTCCAGTTCACAGCTTCATTGCACTGTGGCTTCATCACCCAACCCAATCCCCTCTCACACAACCTCCCTCATGCCCTACAAGCAAAGCCACAACCCCATAACCCTAATTAATGCTTACCAGATTTCCAGTGGATGAACCAACATCCTTATTCTCCATCCATCCATGTGGGTGGGACTTGGGCCAATTCTCAGCCCATCTGTTTCCCTGTGTGGATCTCATTTACTGCAAGCTATTTCTCACTATTTCTCTATTACTACCTTTAGGGTTTTCTTTATGAGTGAATGTGCTTTCTGTGGGGAGGCTTGGATATAAAAAGGTGGAGCTTTGGAGTGCCAAATGTGGCCTGAGTAGTGGTCAATTAGCAAGAGATGGCATAAATGGTGCTCAACTTGGCACTGTCAAGTCTGCTGTTGGTGCTTCTCAGGGCCATACTCCTGTGATGCTTGCTTGTTGGAGCACATGCAGTTCTACAGCTTTCATCAAGGGGGGTCGATACCCAGTATTGAGATCATGCCAAAAACATTTGCCAAAAAGAAAAAGAGAAACAGCTTCTCACTTACACGTCCACTGCTTGGCATTAAAAAACTATATTTTTAGGGCTTCAACTGACACTAGAATCCCTGGATCAAAACAAATCAATTGTTTGTATACTCTTGAAGAGTTGAATTACGACAAGACACTGTCCATCTTCTGATAATGCAGCCACCAACCACATGAATGCTTCTGTGTTTCCTTAAACAGTCAGATTTAATTTTACAAAACATATGTGGCGCTGGATCTTTTGCACTTCAGGCCCCATTATTGAAAACGTGAGGCCTGGCGGAGGAGCAAACACGTGGGTAAATACAGTTGCTGCTGGCATGGAGGACCTGCATAGTTTGTCTAGAGCCAGTTGGATTGACAGTTTTATGGATTTGATGGCCCATATTAAGCTGTGCTTTGCTTAACATGCATTTTTGAAGCCCAAGTTTGTGTAGTCACTCTTGGTTAAGAGTGACATAACACATATTATTATATATTTGTGTATTCATACACACAAAAACTTGTGTGGATGGGTGAGGTGGTCATTCATTTCTTTTGGCTTTGTTCCTTACACGAAGTCTTTGTGCAAAACAAAAAGATCCTTCATCATTGTACCACCAATATCATGACAAATATTGAGCTGCTTGTTGTACCCTAGGTGATAATGATTTGTGATAGGTGCACATTCAGAATCTTTGCATAAAACAATATCATAGCATGCACCTTATGTGTGTGTAAATTTATGTATTAAAGGAAGTAAATATACTTGAATGCATACTTGAAAACTAAAGTTCTTGGTGAAAAATAAAATCACTATTTTAATGCACTGTAATTGAAAAACTATTTTAAAAGTGTCAAATTGATTTTGTAAATATCAGATCCAAGTCTTATAATCAATAAAAAAAACATTATCTATGTATGTTTGTGTGTGTGTGTTTGTATATATATATGTATCTATATATATATATATATATATATAAAGCAAACATTTGCATCATACCAATTAATTAAGTTTCCATACTTAACTTGTTAAAATGTTATAAATAAAATTATTTGTTTTGGTTTTTTGTTTTAATTTAAATTAACAATTCTTTGTTGTTATAAAAAAAAAATTACGAATTTTATTTTATCATAACAATTTTAATTGTTGAAATTTATAACATAAACTATTTTATCATTTATATTAATTTTCTGCTTGTAGTTAATGATATTACTGTATTATTTTTAATTCATACTTAATGCTATTTTTTTATATAATATGGTCAGATATTTTAATTATAGTTTTAATTTTTTCTTTAACTAATTTTTAGTTGAAAGAAATACATTGGAAAGTTTCTTATGTGGTTTTAGTGTTTCTGACTATAAAAAGTAGTATCAATCCAAAAAATCAAAATTTATAAAACTACAAATGTCTTTGAATTATTTGACACCTAGAAAAACATCATTAAAGCTTGTAAGAGCTAAACTTTCCACTATATATAGTTTATTTTATGCCTTTGTTTATATATATATATATATATATATATTGTTTTAAATGAATCCAAAAAGAGTGTATGCAATGTTTTCATAGCTATAGATAAACCATAGAATTTAGTTCAAATTAGATTGCTAAATAACAATTTTGAGTTATATACATTTTACAAAAATAAGACCTATTATATAATATTCAAAGATAAAAATATATATATATATGAAATAGAATAAAAAATAGACAATGTCACACATATAATAAGTTTGGACTTTTTATTACAAAATGCTTCAAATGCAAGTTATTAACACCACAATGCTATTGAATTCAATGCAAAAGAAGAATCTTAAATAACTTTAGATATGCTATAATCTTAAGAGTAATTTTTAAGACTTAATTTACTAATGTTATACTTAACTATCGCACTACTTTATTATTTGATAGTGAAGATTCTATATCTATATATCAACTCTATTTTCAAGTAATATATTTATGATACATGCCAAAGCTCACTCATATTTAAAAAAAAAAAAAAAAAAAAAAAAAATGTTTAAGTTTTTTTAGATATATGCTCAAAATTCTATAACCTTTAAAATAAAATAAATTACAAAGTAATAAGTTTAAATGAAAAGAAAAGAAAAACTTTTGTTTACTTGATAATTTGGTATTGGAAACCTTCATAAGTTTTTACAAGTGCTATACAACTTTATCTATCCAACATTTCCATTCCAAATAACATTGCATTGCATTTAAATATCATAATAAAAAAATAAAAAAAATAAAAAATCCATCTTTAGAGTCTTATTTTAAAATTAATGCCTATAATTGATTTGTACATTTTTGTTGCTTTAACCTTTTTGTAAATATTTATCATCAAATATTAGTTTGGCATAGTTTGACGTTATATTCACTTAACATCCACAAGACATCAACAAGCATTAAAAAAAAAACTTAAAATAACAAAATTAACCACATCATCTTTGCCAATAATATTAATAACGATGGGTGATGTGTAATAAAAATCAATTCTGAAATAAGAACATGGTAAATGCCTAATTTTCGCGTGAAAGATGAGCAAGTAGCTCAAAGGGAGCTCAAGTGATGCTCTTGTGAGGACTTGTATATCCACCAACACATTCATATGAACTTCAATCTTGCCTGTCCGAAGAATTGCACCATAATCAAGTCAAGCGTATATATCATTGTGCAGAGCCTCCACAGGCTGACTGGGAATGACGTCCAAAGTGCTGTAATTCGTGTGAGAATCCAATTGACGGAGAGCTTCGTAAACACCAATTCCAGCCGCCACAGAGAGATTTAGTGAACGTACATAGCTGTCGTTCATGGGGAATCGCACAGAGCCTCCGGCAAACTCACCAGAGCGGCATTGTTCTAGAATTGCAGCAGGTAAGCCGTCCACTTCTGACCCAAATACAAGCCAGTCTCCAGCCTTGTACTTCACATCCTATTTCAACACAAGTCCATGTTATTTCAAGATGATACAGCGTAGTTTAACAACAAGGGTGGAGGATGAAAATAAAAGAAGTAATCAGAAATGAGATGCAATATTGAGTATCTGTGTCAGGTCATCTACAAGTAAGAGTCAGTAAAGGAAGAAGAGTTGGAGCCAACCGTGTGAATAGTACGACCCTTCTTAGTGAATGCAAGGAGCCGTTTCTCACCCTCCTGCCATTGATGAGACCATGACACAGGAATATACTCAGTAGCAATACAGTACTACAGCAAACTGGAAATCGAACCAAAACTGCGAACAGAAATGTAATTTTCTCAACTCGAAAAGTTTCGTCATGATTTGTGACTGGGATGCACACTATCCTTCGACTACTAAGGGTAAGCATATTGTTGATTTGACTAGGCATGTTACTGTTTCATTTTAATGGCATCCGATGACAAGGGTTTCTGAGGTCTCTACATGGCGATGCAGGTTCCCTGAATCTCTTCATCCAAAAAAGGACCACATGAAAAGTCGAGATACCAACCTGTTCTTGAAAATAGGTAAAAAAATCATCCCAAGACTTGTGCACCCTCACCACTACGAATCTGGTCATCTTTGTCTTGAGAAGGATTTACTAGATTGCACATGAGTAGAAGCACGTCTTTTCTGTAGCTAGTAAATGAATCTCCGGCTGTGTTGTTATAAGAGGTTCAATTGTGTTACGACAACACTTCAAATCGTTCAGCACTACGTAATGGGTTGCAAAATACATACAGACAGTGGTGCAAAGCGAAAGGAATCAACAAGAGGATACGGCCAGTAGTCCAGTCCTGCCCTCCTCAGCTTAGAATCCTCAACCTTGAATCCCATCGGCTGTCAAGACAGGAAATACAATCAATCACCTCCATTAATCAACAACACAAACAACTTCGAGACCCAGAACAAATCAAACGAGCAACTCTAATATTATTCTATGATTTTTAATAGTAGATGAAGTACAGTCATACCCTCAATATTAAAAAGATTACCTCAACAAGATGTAACCCAACACAAGTGGCTGCACAAGTTCTTGCAATACTTCCTGTATTTCCTGGTATCTGAATCTCACAAATAAACCGTTAAACGTGGAGAATATACAAATAAGGATCAGTTGCACCAATTTACTAAAATGATAAATGTATGCATAGATTGAATCCATTTCGAAATACCTGGGGTGAAACCAACACCACTTGCAGTAATCTTTGCTGCTGATCCCGCTCAGCAACTTCCCCCCAGCTCCCATGTCTCAGAAGCCCTTTCTTTCCTTCAGATGCTGCATTTACACTGGAAGATATGTCATTGATCCTTACTCTACACATGTGTATATGTGACAGCCACAGTTTGTCACCATGTTACGCGACACAATTTACAGTTGATGATACTTGGGAGTATCTTTAGTGAATTTTTCTGAAACAAAATAAATGTCAATAATATGTTAACCACACAGAAATTGAATTCAATTGTTTTGTTCGATTCGTCGGTCTATCTTCGTTTAACATTATTATAGGGACCGTGAATCAAATTTAACAACTTGAAAGTAGGAATGGTTTTGGAAATAGGTGTCAGGGGAAGGTAGCGACAATGAAAATGCTAAAAGCACATTCATACAAGTAAAATATTCAATTAGACTTCTCAAATTTATACTTGAATTTAACAATTGCCATCACCAGGAAAACCTTAAACCCTGAACCCCTAAACCCTAGACCCTCGACACCTTTCGAACGCCTCCTCATCAGTTAGCTTTCGAACTGTAGCTTGATGTATTATAGAATTCATACATCACAAGGGTCATGAAAATGAAAATAACAATGCACAATCAATTCAACCGCCAATTGGGTTTCGAAGTATTGACCCAAATTTCACGATGTACTATTTGCAAATGAGAGATTGAGTGATTGCCTGTCACAAGAAGACGCCCACATGCTCGTCTGGAACCGCGACAAGGATGTGGCGTCGCGAAATCCAGCTCCCAACTCCAACTCCCAGTTGGATTGCGCAAGCACACACGAGGGTGGCTTAATCGGGTGCAAGACGACTGAAAGAGCGGAGACGTGAAGCACTTGAGTCCTTGAGATAGCATTGCCATCTTGTAATGCCAATCCTACACAAACAGAAAGAAAAGAAGATTGCCTCGTATTTCTATTACAATCTCATGGTCGTCAGCGAAGAATCTCCGAACCATGACTCATAGCCACACTCTTTAACTATCCATAAGCTCTTCAAGTTGTCCTCAAGGCCAATCTTCACACGGCCGGTAAGCTCTCTCCTCTATTTTCATTAAATCAAGACTCATCTAGACCCACTCTTCTAAACCTCTTGTACCCACGTCGTCATGTCAAACACAAGACCAGGAATAGAAGGTTGCAACACCAACAACCTCGATGCCGGAGATGGCCTCAACATATATCGAGAACTAGGCGGGGAGAATGAATACTCGCACCAGCATCCGAAAGGATAAATATGAATGGATGGATGAATTCTCATGAGGCAATCTCTTGCCCCTGGCTCATGTCGATTCCATGGCCACAAAATCTTTCAGCGTGTGAAGTGGTGGTTAAGAAATGTTACAGGCAAGTTGGAGGGTTGAGGATAACAAGAGGTTTGTACGAGAATTCTGGGTCGTTGATTCTTGCGTCGTCAATGCTCGGGGTTTCGTAAAATGTGCTGTTCACGGCCCACACTTCGTTTCAAATTTTGCAGCAAATAAATGGATCTGGGAAGGTTGTTAGATTCGAGCTTATTGAAGGGAAGTTCACCAGTGCTTCTATACCTCACCAGGTAATGTGATTAGACTTCATGCATGTTGTATTTGTGTGGGATAGTCATTTGTTATAATTGTCCTTAACATCAGCACCAATCAGTTTCAATGTTGTAATACAGGAAACAGCCAGGAATCAGGAGACAACTAGAATACAAATTCGAGTCGTATTTCGGGCACAGAGGGATTAGACATTTGAAGAAAAAGCGAAACCAGGTAATACTCTGTCGTCAATCAGAGAAAAACAAACGAAAATATTGAAATCTCAAAAAGATTTGGTACAATGACTTGAGCACTCACCACTTAGTCTACAAGAATTAAGTAGAGTGCAAGAGATCGCAAGCAGGAAGATCTGTGGAAAAAATATCAAAATAAAATGCAGGAAAACTCGTACGCATCTGTAGGGTTGAATCCCTTTCCAGAATCACAGCTGCACACCCTAGGAACTCTCAGAAGCCAAGGTTTCTTAGGGAATGACTACCAGTCTTCGACCGCCTCGCATGCGTCACCAAAGCAGCGCCCAGGAGTTAACGCACACATGGTTTTTCACAAAATCGACCAATCTCTACGTCTCAGAGTTTTCAGGGTTTCATCGTCAACGGAGTTGAACACTCCAATCATCTGGCATCATCAGGAGATGTGCAAATACTTCTGTGACTAGGATTATTTAGATCATGTTCATCAAAAGCACCAGTTGACTTAAAGGTAAATTGGGACAATGTCGAAAGTGATTTCTGCAGATGTAAATTCCTAGAGAGTGCAAGTGCTCCTCACGCTGCCTTGATTTCCTGTCATGGCTCGTGAGGTCAACTTCACATAGGCTGATTGGAAGGCAGAGAAGAAGGCTCCCTGGTTAGAGGCGTAGAGCGTGACGATGGGGGCTGTGCGTGGATCCGTGCTAAGCTGGTCGTCGACGGTGAAGAGACCGCGTCCGTTCTGAATGTCTTGGAAGTACTGGTTGTCGAATGTGAACTGAGAGGCGTCATTGTTGAGGATTGCGATATCGAACACATTTACAGCACATGCTGCCCGGAGTTGAGTGCGATAGACGACACTGTTTGGGGCAGTTGGACTATTAAGCTGCAGACGATCTTGGATGTTTTTACAGTGTCCTACTCCGAGAGTGTGAGCACCTGCAAACAAAAATAAAGACGGCTAAGATTCAGAGAGTGAACGAATTCAAGGAAGCTTGTGGGTTCAAACAATAACTTCTTTGCAGGCTTGGTAAATACAATCGCTCATGATACGGAAAAGCTAGCGTACCTAGAATGGCAACACTCTCGGCTATGCTCATGCCGAAGGGGGCAAAAACATTGAGAACTCTGTCCACATTGGAGGTAGCAGGTGGGAGTTTGGCTTCGGCTTCAGTTGCACTAGAGAAATCAGCATCCTTCCTGCCGAGAGGAATTTGAATTTCAGGGCCGCCATTGTAAGCAACTGCGTCCCGTCCAGCCATAGCGATAATGTCTGCGCAGGAAACCGTCAACGGGCACATATCCTCCATGTCAGATTTGACGGAGTTGATGATATCCAGGCGCTTGACTCCAAAGTTACTGCCAGCGTCCATTTCCCCGCCATCGCCTTCCATCATGATGGAGCCATCGCACCCTCCCTGCACAAAGAGAAACTACCCTTACATTCCAGAATTGAACTATTGCCCTCTGAACAAACATGGTCAACGGAGGAGCATGTGAGAAAGCAATGGAGCAGAAGCAACAACACGAGCCACACAACACTCCCAACAAGTAAGCTCAGAAATTTGGTTGCTAATTCGTTTGAGTAGACTGCTAAAAGAGTTGCTACTATCAATGAATTAGCAATAACAAATACAAGTTCCTCAGTATTCATTCTCATTAGAAAGTAATTTCCCTCCTGCTGTCAGCACAAGGTTATTTAATTTCAGGATCTATTAGAAGCATTCGAGACTGTCCAAAGTATCAATTAGCACAAATACTTTCGAGTAAAACTCCCAATTTCTGACTCAAAGTGCTACTACCTTAATATTAGATGTGTAAAAGAGCTACCTATCTGTGTTTGACCGAGAAAAGTCTTCACTGTCAACTTCCAGACACGGCATTACTACCATGGAAGTTCTTGTGTATTCTACCGACGGCGTCAACGTGAGTAAGTGCAAGTGCAAAGCTAAGATGTAATACCACCTGGGGAAAGGATGGAGCCTACAATTGTTGTAAGTAAAGCATTAGTGCAATGTCAGCGAGGCAAGCAGGGGAGGGGGGCTAATGTATGTGGTAACAACACCACTTCCTTTTTTTGCAGACAACGTAATCCATGTCGGTAAATGCTGGCGGAGAGGTTTGGAAAAACGACATTACTAAAAACATGAACTTAGTATTTTCACACAGTTATCTCCTGAGTGTTGATAAGCAGAAGACCTGAAGGACATCGATAGGAATATGAGCTCAAGGAATGGCAAGCCGGTCTTGTTACGTTAAGGTGTGAGGTACTCACAGGTCCGACTTGACAGTCATGAAAAGCAAGGCGGAGCATTGCAGCACTTGAAGTAGCATCTGTAAGGAAGCTCCGCCGCACCAAGGTTCGCACTCTATCCTCCACCCCCGCACACCCCAACGAATCATAGTAGCCATACCGCAGCTCAGCGTCCGCCACCGCCGCCAGCAGGAAAGCAGCGGTGAGGAGCTCCAACGCCAACAATCTCCCCATTGCCAATTCCCACAACAATCAACACGGCTGCCGTTGAAAGTCCTTCCACACGGGAGCTGAAATCCCAAACGCCACACTTCCTCTCACCCGGTGTTCCAGCTCCAGATGACTCTACCACCCTCTGACACGAAAAGGCCAACAACTCATTCCAATATCACAGGGTCCACAGCTCTGAAGCGTGTGATCCTAGTACCCTGCTGCACCATGCGCAAAAGGAGCCACGCAAGAGAAGGGGCTGCAAGCATCTAATGCAAAAGAGGGGAATGACACTGCAATCCACCAATTGAGTCCACGCTGCTCATGCTGTCAACTTGGAGCTGAATGCAGCAAAAGCAGCAGCTGACAAGTCCTTGCAGTGGGGTGGGCTATGAATCCACCCCAGAAACGGAGCTGTGGAGCTAGCTTCTTTGCTGCTGCTTCTTCTTCTTCTTCTTCTTCATCACCATCATCATAATCTTCATCATCACTGCAGGGAGTGGCACCATTGAAGGCTCTCCTGACACGCAGCAACAATGCAGCTGTACACTTGAAGGCCAGTCTCTCACCAGCTCCACTTATGGCATCAGACCCAGTCCCAGTCCTAGTCTCCCTCTCAGAGTGTGTAAATGAGAGCAATTGTAAGTGTTGTAAGTGTAGGGGGTATAGATCTAATATGGGTATGTGGGTATTGTGGGTGGGTGGGCTCTGAGTGCCCCCAGTTCACACAAAGGCTGCTGAATGATCAATTCCTCCATTCTCTCTGTTATGACTTACCCTGGGTTTTGGTTTTATGAGCCAAGTACTGGCCTGGGTTTGTCCACTCTTGGGGGAATATTTTACACTCCCACCTCATTGCATGCTGCAGCCTTTCATGCTTCCTGTGCCTTTCCCATACACCTTCCTCTTTTTTTTTCTTTTTTTTTTTTCTTTTTTTCTGACTTTGCTTTTTCTTTTTCTTTTTGAAACAAAAAAGTATACATTTATATAAGTTGGTACTTGTATTCAAGGAAAGTGAAAGCTATTTTATTTTTTCTAGTTGTGCTTAGAATGGATAAATCAAACATTTTACACTAAATTGGCAATGCTTATTAAAATGATGTAATTTTTTATTGAAGATAACTATAATGATCATTAATTTTCATTTTCTAGTTTAATTTGGCATTAATAGGTGATTTCATGACTACAATTGCTACTTAATACTGTAAAATTTAGACATTTGTGACTAAGTTTTAAACCAATTATGATGTCATTTTATTCCACTCTATTTTTCTCTTTTATTTTTTTTTTTCAAGAATAAAAAAATCAAATCATTATGCTAAAGGTCAACATGTATTGACTTCTAAGATTTTAATTAATGTTTGCAACCATAAACATACTTTAATTTGATACAATATTAATGCACAAATATAAGAATAAATCTAATAAGCACCATTTTTTTATTTTATTTTACTTTGTTAAAAATATCAAGTCATTTTACCAACTACAAATCATTATTATATAATTGATAGGCTAACACATTGTTCTTACATTTACAATGTTTTTTATTTTTTATTTTTTTTGCACTTATCTATTCTGTTAGTTGCTTGGGCCTAACATTATTTTCTAAAAGTTACTGATATTAAATTAAATGATTTAATGTTCTATCTTACAATTAAAAATCTTCAATATTAGGATTTTAATAGTTTAATTGTTAAATATATAAATCAATATATTTAATTATATAAAAAACTAAAAAATGATATAAGAATGATTTGTAGAATAAATACTAACATTTGATATAGAATCAAATGCAATATGAAGACACATTCTTGTATGTTATTATTAATTAATGCATTTTTAGTATTTGGATATGATTTAAAAGAATTGATATTGCTAACATTGATAAAAATAAATTTATCTAGAAAGGCAATTCGAATTTTTTTTACTTTTTTCTTAATTTCTAAAGGCAATTCGAAAATACATGTGTGTTTATTTTAATAGATGTTGATATAGTATAATTAGTTGCTATTAAGTAATTATTTATTTTTATATATTTTATTTTATTTCAAGCTCTAAAAATAATACTAAGAATAATTTTTTAGTATTCTAAAGTATATAAGTATCTTATATTAAAAAAATTTAAAGTTAAATTTGCATTTAGAAATTAAGAAAAAAGTAAAAAAAAAAAATAACTGGATGGCTCTTATTAATTTTTTATTTTTTATTTTTTATGAATATTATTTTTATATATTTTATAAAAAATATTCAATGCATAAACTTAGATTAAATATAATATTTATTTTATTATTTTATATTTGAGATAAAATTTACATCAATAATATTATAATTTATTTGTGTTTATTTATTTAAAACCAAATACATAATGTTTATTGTAATTTAATATATATATATATATATATATATATATATATTTATATATGTTCTACTTAATTTATAACCAAGGTTTTCAAATTTAAAAGAACTCATGAAATTTTGTAGTTCTTATATGATGACATATGTTCTTTTAAACAATAATATCCAAAAGTGTTAGTCTCCTTTACAACTCTATGGATTACCTTTCTATTTCTTTCATATATTTAATCTAGTTTAAATGCAACCAAATTCTTTTCATATTTTTAGTTATATTTTTTTGAGAATGTTGAGTCTTTTTTCTAATAAATATCAATCAAGTTAAATTGCAATCATTAAGCATTTGCAACACAACTTGTAATTTGCAATATATCAAATTCTATTACATGCAATTAATCACTATTGATGATTGCAAACAATATAGGATTCTACAAGTGATCAAATGAGAATTAAGTATTGACATAGCCTGTACCAAAAAGGCATGACAATAGAAACAATTGTTTACCAATGAAGTTGGTACAGGACAATGGACTTATAATCATAGTATTTGATTAACACTGCTAGTAGCAACTTACAAGAATGTATTGCAAGCAGTATTTATCAAAAATAAGATTAATAGAGTTTTAGGCAGTTTTATAAGTATTCATACATGAAGAGAATCTAGGAAACTAACCAAACTAATCCTCAAAGATTGATTCAGCAATGACATTAAATATAACAAAAATAGATTAGCACTTTGAGAATTGAAACCACATTCAATTTGATATTTATACAAAATAGCAAAATGAACAAATGATCAAAACTTTATTAACAAGTCCAATAGGAATTAATTATAAAAGTGAAAAATAAACATGTGGTATCCAAAGATTCTTTACTTAAATTTTAAAAAATTATCATTTTTTATTTTAATATAAAAAATGAGATTACATATTTATAATCTAGAAACAATTTCTATCATAGCAAATATTATTAGGTAAGTAAAAAATATCACTTAATAGATATGAATTAAGTAGGATACAAGTATATACATATATATATATATATATATATATATACATATAAAAATTATTTTCTAATATATGAAATTTAAAAAAAATAATTTATTCATAATATTAAGAAGAAACAGTCTATAATCTAATATATCTCTTTATAGTGGCCTATTAATTCTATAATTTTGAATTATTTAATAATCCACATCATCACAACAAATTTCTTTAAAATTCTCTTATAGATCTTCTAAATGTGCAAGTAAACATTAAAGAAGAATAATAGCAAACAATGCTCTTAATTTTTTTTCTATTTTCATTACAAAGGCTTCTTCTAAGAATTGATTCCATTCTTGATTATCCTCCAACAATCCAATTTGTAAGCATGCATTCGTAAGATTTGGTTGAAGTACTCTATTTATAGTACATATATCTTCAAAATAAATGTGGTCCATATACCATTGTCAAAAGAAGTTGACAATAAAATCTTATTCTTATAGTAGGATCAGCAAAATATAATATTTTAATTGCAAATCTATATTATCTTAATGTCCACATTTTTAAGGTCTTGTTCCACACAAAAAGCTGTAAAAATTATTGATACTTGTATTGCTGAACTATCTCTATTAATTTAGACATTTCAAAAACTACTATCAAAGTTGTTTTTTGCTATTCTCCACAAGCTAAGATTTCGACTGCATCATCATTTGGATCAAAAATTACTTGATGCATTCTAGGAAGTTGTAATGTCAATCAAACTATATTTCAAACTGTCATGCACTTTCATTGTGAACAAATGCAATGCTGGCTCAAGAGCTCTAGTATACCATAAATCAGTATATTGCTTGACCTTATCTTACTTATTTATGATTTCCATTGTTGTACAATCATATCCTTTATAAATATTCTTGCGAATATATTTCATAGCATGAATAGAAGTACAAACCTCAATGTTAATATGGAAGTTATACTTTTTTGCTAAAAATACGATTATATAGAATAACATCTCAATTGTCTACAACATGATTGCCAATATTAAAAGTCCTTCCATCATTTTTTCTTTGATATTGAAGATATCCATCAATATCCATTGATGTTACTTCTTAATAATCTTTTGGATATCTCTTTTGGTATATTCCATCCTTCATACATAAAGCTTGCATATATTGAGGTCCACATGGATCATAAACCATGCAAAGTGATAATTATCTCAAGTAATAATAAATCATCCTCTTTAATAGGAAACTTTGCAAAAATAATCTTATCAACATGAAATGGATTTCTTATTTTTATTGTTTTGATCAAAAAAGAGTAAGAAGTGCATGTATAGAAGACCTTGCTTTGAAACTCAATAGTATGCACTCTTGCAAGTGCATGTCCTGAAATGTGATGCTTATAAATATCTTCAATTAATGCATGATGCTTTAGTTCAAATACTCCATCTACTAAATTAAGAAGATCTTTGAAATGTTATTCCAAAAAGCATGCATTTGAAATCTCAAGCCACTATAGATTTGTTGTCAATATAATAAATATATGTGGATGTTGAAAGTATGAAGTAATGGCCATAGAATCTTAAAAAATCTCAAATAAGTTTCTTGTACTTCCAATATGAGATGACTAAAGTATTATACTCTACTATAGATTTTGCATGTTGATTTCTTGATATTATATATCTCCAATAATATTTGCTATTCCTTGATGTATGCTTATACATAATCTATCTTGATTCATATTCAAATATCTCAATTGATTTTGCTTTGTTATTGTCTAAGCATCCATAATAAATTTTTGTACCAACTCTCTACTACACAAGATAGCTGAGTACTTGTTATATCACAAAAATAATCAATATGAGAAAAACTCCATTTGAGTAACTTGTACAATCCATAATACCACAACACATAAGAGTTTCTATCACTTCCTTGGTGCCAACAACATCAATCCACATCCTCGGAAGCTAGTACAACAATAAGCAAAAGCCTAGTGGCAATCTCTATGAGCTAAGCAATTACCCAACTGCTCTCAATAACCAATCATAATCATTTTTTGTCTCTTTATCTTATATCTATGCTATCTTATATAATATAATATATTATATATATATATATATATATATATATATTAAAGAGAATAATGAATCTTGAATCCTACATCTATATTACATTTTAGTAAGTTAAAATAAATTTTAATTTTAATAAATTCTTAGATAAGAGTTTGATGAAAATCTTATAATGAGGCATCTTGTGTATAGTTCAAGTTCAAGCTTTTAGAATAGTTTCTTGTGAGATATAGATAAATATTTATAGAAAAATTATTTTCATTTCTTACAAATAAATTTAGGACGTTTTGTACAGAAACATCAGGTGTATAGTTTAACAATACTTATTTGTAGTGATATATTAATAATGTAAACTAAACTCAAATTAAAGAAATTAAATCAATGCTAATTTATCTTACTCTACAATTTTTATACTCTGTAAAAAAATCATTTATCAGGAAGAAGTTCAACCTTTTCAAAGATTGACGTTTCAAATGAGGATTAAAATTTCAAATTTATTTACTCATAGCCGAATTAGTCCAATTTATTTATTCACAAACAAAATCATGTTGATCTACGGTAACTCTGTTTCCATTGTAGGGATGGTTTTATTCTACCAATTTCTACTTCATTCATTCAACAGGACATCGTTTTTTAAACTTGGTACTTGGTTTTTTGAGAACTTTTTCCCCTTAAAGTTTCCCATGTCAGAATTGCAGTTTCTTTCTCATCTCTGTTCTTTCTTTCTTTCTTTTTCTCCTGTTCTTGTTGTTTTGTTGTGTTAAGATATTTATTTTTGTACTCAGTTATAAAAGAGGGAGTTAATGGAAGAGGGGGGGAGGAGGGGCATTGGTCATATAATAACAAGATTCATTTGGGCCCCACTCACAAGGAGTGCAGGTGGAGGGCATTCGCCACATTTCCACCACCTTGTTCAATTGTGGAACACATGTCCGTCCCTGTGCAGAGATGGGAACAGATGGCTTAAGGAACAAGTGTCACATGGGAACAGAAATGGGAACAGCATGGGAACAACCCCACCTGGCATGGCCTGGCCATGCTTTGCCCTCCCTCAGCCAAGCCTGGGAACGGTTTTAATGTTCCCACAGATGCAATTGAAGGGGCCCTGGTGCACTTTACTGGACTGATGATGCCTGAACTCTGCCGCCTTGCTGCTCCTGCCTTGCTAACTACTTAAGGGAAAAAATAAAAACAAAACAAAACAAAACAAACAAAACAAACAAACAAAACAAAACAACAAAAAATACCCAAAATTAATAGAATATATATATATTTGTGCAATTTAAAACTTGACTGCATGTCTCTTCTAATCTGGTTGTGTAGATATGTATCTCTCATTGATTGATGGGGAAAAAGAATTGTCAGAATTATGTCCATGTAAGTGCATGAATTGTTTCTTGCACCTCATCAAACGTAAACATTATTATTTTTTTGTGATGGGTTTGATTATTTAATATCAAGCGAATTTGCATTTCATTTAATATTACTTCGAGATGAAGAAATGGTATCGAAAGCAATATGTGGTTTCATCTCATTAATTTGACACTGGATTCTTACTTTTCTTTTGTCATATTTGAATATGATTAATTGCTCAAGTGTGTTATGTCTACTTGTCTGTGTGCATATCTAATTTATATTATTTCTCAATTCTTACTTGTTTGATGAAATTTGGGTCATGCATTCAAAATTACTATTTTTGAAATAGAATCGTGGTATTAATGATTGATTTAATATTTTATTGCCTGTAAGATTTTATTTTATTTTTTACATGAAAAGTATATCACAACATAAAATATTAAATGAACTCAAACACTGAGTCTCATTCAATACAAGTTTCGAAGAGTGTTTGGATGGTGATGAAATGGATGGATGAACACGTGGAGGGCAGCTATTGAGCAGGACTCCCGCCAAGCCCTCCCGCCGAGGGATACGAGGGATTCATATGCGGAACGCGTGGCGCTGCACGGACACAGCAGTTGTACAGTTTGAAATTGCAGGGTGTTCTCGAAACCTCGTGCCGGTCATAGAACCACATCGGAACCGGCACCGGCACCAGCGCCAATCGTGGCGCAAGCCGATCGGAGCGCGGTAGAGGTTTCATCTTCCCGCTGGTCTGCAAAGATCTGCTCCATTTCGTCGATAATCATCGTCATTAGGATTCTTACTCTTTTCGTTTTGATTTTTTTCTTACTGTTCGGTTATTTGAGTATCTGGTCCGGTGGCCACTTGCACAATCACATCAACCGTACTCGGCGTTTTGTTCAGTGTGACATCGGTTGCTATCAAGCGCAGGGTGATATCTGTTATGCAGTTTTGGCGATTGGTGTTTGGCAACAGAGATGTCAGTGCTTTAGAGGATATCACAGTTGTGAAATTCTGCAATTAGTGAACTCCTCGATTCAATCCATTCGGATTTCATTGTATGTTTTTCCCCTCTCGATTACCTTTGATGATCAGAGTCTTTTCAGATGGACTCCATGCTTTTAGAGTTTGAGAGTTTCTCTTCACGTTTGCAATCTTGTGAATTTATCCAGGTGGCAAGTTGCGATTTATGAGCGAGATGCTGGGTAAGGTTCGAGACTGTATCCGTTCGTGATTTGCGTGTCTGCAGCGTTGTTGTCACTGGCGCTACGGACCCTTGGTTTTGGTTGTCCCTGTAGTTAGGCTGCCGATACTATCTGATAGGGATTGTGTGAGCAGATTGAGAATGACAATCAGTGGCCGTGGCATTGGAAGATTTCTGTTGATGCGGATTACATGGCTTCATCAATCGCTCTAATGTACTCGGATCCTCCTCTCTTCCTCACTGGTCAGGTTACTACTCAATTAACTTCATTTCCATATTTGGAATGTGTTTACACTTTGGCCACTGCTCCCTTCTTACAAGTGAGAGGATGTAATTGTAACAACATGCTACACACATGGGATCATTGGCCACAGTGTATTGATCATTGAGTTATTGATGATGTCATATCTTTCTTTATTTTCTGATGTTTGGAATAATATGTTTCATATTGTTAATATATATATATATATATATATATATATATATATTTGGACATAATATAGGGCATCACATATGAAAGAATAACATACATTTTTACATTGTAAAAGGAAAAAAATGTAAAAAAAAATTGAAAAAAAAATAAAACAACATAAGTTATTTAAATGATCTCAATGCTAAAGCACTTTGTTGCAAATCATATTGTGCATTAAACTAACATCCCTTTCTGTACTGAATTTCAATAAAACTTTTATATTTTTGGAGGTCGTTGCATGAAAAAATAAAATATTTAAGTAGTTGTGGAAAAAGATGTTTATGCTAAATTTAGCAAAACATACTTCATTATTTTTCCTTGGGATTAGTTTACTATTATTACATAAGCCATATGCAAGGGGAACTATTTTCTGCTTAAAACCTAAAAACGATTTCACTATTTAGTAATTGTGGTAGTTCTAGAAATAAATGTAATATGACAATGTTTTTTTCTCATCAATACCTCAACTTCAATGTCTATATCAGTGAAACATTTGATCATTAGTTGGGTTTTATTACAAAGACTACTTGCTAAATCAAGATTATAGAAAGGCATCATAATTGTGCCAATATTTAGCATGAGCTTATGAGGTGACCACCCACTTATATGCAACATTATATATTCCGAGGGGACATGGATATTTTTATGGCTGATTAACTTAATTTACAATGCAACCAATACACAAAAACATGTTTTTTTATTATAAAAGATAACTTTGCTACACACAATTTGATAGATTGTAGCATTTGTAAAACTAAGTGTATATCTGAATGCATGTGTGTATGTGAATTTTTGTAGACTTTTGTTAATATAAACATATTCAAACAGTGGATGTTGTGCTCATTGGCAATGCTGCATTCTAAGCTACTTTCCAGTTGTAAACATAAGATTTGCATTTTCTTCTACAAGCAAAACTTACATTGCATCAACCTTTGCAATGTTACAGATTACCAAAAAAGTTGAACTTTTTAAGTAACTGTTTTACAAACTATTGCATGATTCTATGATAGTTATATTTTCAATCCAGAAATCAATACTTTCATAGTCAAAAACACAATTATATCAATGTTCAAGGTTTATTTAATAACCTTAAATTATTTTGTATGTTTCATTGCCTCCTCGCCTATGATAACTGATTGTACAATAGAAGTAGGAAAATTTACTCAATTTAATAAAAAAGAGCTCATCCTTTTTTATAAAATAAAACTAAATCAATATTACTTTTTGGAAATCATATCATCAAGAAGTTTTAAAAACAAATTTAGTTCAGCCAAGACTTTTTTTTTTTTTTGTACATGAACTCGGTAATGTATCTTTAAGAAAACATGTGAAGTACTAACCAATTCTTTGTTTTCAAAGTATATACTTCAACAATTAAAACTCTTTCTATAGTGATGGATGCAATATTTATCTTCATGATTGCAAGTGTTGGTAAGAGAATATTTCTCTAACAAAGAGCTTTGAAGGCTTTTCCTTTCTAAAATAACTAATTTAATTTAGGGTAAAAGTTTCCAATCCACTTTATCTCTGGTGCTTTAATTTCTCTTGAAAAAGAAAAAAAGGAAAAAGAAAAATAGCATTTAATATCATACAAGCAAACTTACTTAACTCTTAAACAAACAACAACAGAACATGAATAAATTATGAATAAATATTTCACAACATGGAAGTTTAACATTTCATGCATAAAAGTTATAAATGGATATCCTCCAATTTATGGAGATGGTAGACATCAAAGTATCCATTCCCTAGTTAAACCCACTCCACACACACAAAAACATGACAAATAGTATTATTGGCATGTCAATGATGCCACCAAGGTCCATGCTCATTATCATCTAATGCAGTACACAATGAATCATTTGGGAAGAAAGAGAGTGGGGGATTTATTGGTAGCAAGCTAAGCCAATTCCTTAATGCCTCATTTAAGTGTGTCAATAAATGAAAAAAGTAAAGAGAGAGTACCAACAGTCAAATCTCATTCCAAGAGCCACATTATGTAGACTTACATATATTGTGTGTTGTCCACTCTGCACAAGACAAGTGGTATAGTTTTAAAATTAAATTTTTCATTTATTGCAAGGATACTATTGAAAGTAACAAATCCCTTTATGGCATTTAATTTCCACCTTCCATAGGCACTTAGCCCCCCCTCCCCCCTCCCAATTGCTGCTTATATAACTCTCCATTCACTCCTGCCTATAACACTGTACAAAATAGATATGTGTGTGAGCAGGTACATGAGTGAGACATGAATAGCACAATTCACACCACATGCATTCTTCATTTTTATTTTATTTTTCTTTTAAAAAATATATATTAAACCACCAACAAGAACCATTTTTATGTTTCCAAATGAGTGCATTGGTCAAAGTTAGGTGAATCTAGTAATATTGATATAGACTTGTGGTCCAAATTCTTGGCTTACAAAGATAAAATAACATGCTTCAAAATCAAGTCCCATGAAAGGAAGAACAAGATGCACTTCTATTTCTAAAGACAAGAAATAAAAAAAAAAAAATAATAATAATAAAAAAACACATCGTAGAACCTTTCAACAACCAACTTCCAAGGAACAAAATTACAATGGAGCAAGACAGGAGCTACAGAGAATAAAATCAAGTACTAGTTTGATTTGTAAAATGTAATAATAATTAAACTTAAGATAGGAATAATCTATAAAAATATTCAAATATTATAAAAGATTAAAATACAACAAAAAATTATATCAGTGGTGTTCATATTATGAAAGTTTTTTATTGTAAGTTTTAATTACATTCTTAAATGCATATTAAAATCTTTAATGCTTTCATCAAAGTATTCATGTAGGACTTTAAAGACAAGCTATTCTAATTGTGAATTTTAAAAAATAAAATTTAACTCTCATTTTTCTCTAGATTGATTTTAAAAGAAGTAAAATAAAATATGATTTTATTTATTTATTTATTTTGAGTACTGAACTGAATTCATAGGTTACTATGTTTTTAATAAAAGATTTATTTCTAATATTTAGAACAAATCTAAACCAATTTATGTAAGCAGATTTTTATTTTTTTCAAACATGTCAAAAAAACATTGTTAATCTAGTTCTATTATTGTCCACCCTTATGATGTTGATTTTTCAAATTTATAAAATCCTAACTATAAAAAAATTCTAACTATGGATGTTAGGTTTTAGGATTTTGGATGAAATTTTGAAAAAACCCAAATATATACTTTCATATATATATATATATATATATATATATATACACAAAATATAATATATAATTTATAAAATATATTTTACATGATATATTATAATATACATATGATATATTTCACAATACAACATACAATATGCATAAGAGTTCAAAAGATTTTAGAATTTTATACCATCAACTAAAAATTTACTATTTATTATTTATTTAATTATTATTATTAATAATTTATAAATAATATATTTTAAATTATCTATTATTAATTTTGAGAATATGAATGCACATGAATTATATGCACATGACAATATTTTATACATGAAACTTGTTTGAGAAACATTTTAGAGATTTGTTTCTTCTTTTTTACTATTGAATTATAAAAACACACAAAGAATATTTCAATTAATAAGATAGAGAATGAGATGTTGCACTGACAACTTTTTAACAAGAATGGTAAGCAATATCCATAACATCTCAACAAGAATGTAAAAATGCTATGTATGTTAATGCTATAAATGGATACAATACAAACAAGCTCTTTAAGTAAATTATGCGAGAATTGATGTGCGTTTCAGATTTCAAATAGATGCACATTGTTAACAAGAAATATTAGCACATATAGAAGCATGTGCTCCAAGAAGGCTCCATGATATAAAGAGTTTGTATTACAAATTTTTCTTTTGATAGGAGGACAAGTTATTACTACCACTTACATGATAGAATAACCACTCCTTGAAGCCATTGAGAAGTCCTTTAATAGATAGAAGAATATTTGTTTAATACTTCAAAGATAAATATATACTTCAATATGTATTGCACCAATGAGAAAGTCATCCTTTTGCCACACAATCCTCTTCTAGAATCTATATGTAATCTATTAGAAGATATTAATTGTAAGACTAAATAATTTTGCAAGAATATATGAGGGTACAATAATGCATTAACTATTACATATAGTAGAGCAAATATTGATCAACATTTTAAATACAATGATAAAAATACTTACTATCTACAAAGAGAGTTATATCATCAAATAACAAGTCTTCTTTCAATTGCAAGTAAAACTCTAAATTTTGTTCAATTATATATTTCTAATTTATAAGCTAAGTTGAACAAAAAGATGTCACATTTTGTTAACTTAGAGCATGAAACAATAGAATCTTTATAAAATATGTTGTACATTTACAATGCATATGCGCAACTATTTGTTAAAGCATGTCAAAGATTAAATTGGCTTGTAGAAGATTTTTATATTTGATTCTTAAGACTTTAGCAAAAAGAAACTTGACATTATAATAAAAAAATTATAAATAAAGTTGGTGCAATTATAATGGAATATTACAACAATGGCAATTCTAAAAAATAAGTATATGACTACAAAAATAGAAAAATAATTTGAATCTAAAAGTAGAATAAATTATTTATATTAGGTATTAGGAAGATTCTCAAGAATTTTTCATATGGTTTGAAGATGAAGTAACCTTAGAAAGCTTCTTAAGAAGTTTTCAAGTTGCTTGAAGATGAAGCAACCTTAGAAAGTTTCTTAAGAAGTTCTCATGTTGCTTAAAGATGAAGCAATTCTACAAAGCTTCTCGGACAACTTCTTTAATCTTTCTAGAACTTTTTAGAATCTGATAGAATATTCTAAGAATCTTTAAAAATCTTCTATTAGAGTATTTTAAGAATCTTTAAAAACTAAATAAAATATTCTAAAAATCTTCTCGATGAATGTCTATATCATCACATCTTTTTTTAATTCTAAATTCTATGAAGAGCATCAATTTCATATTTGCTTTCTTCATTACATACAACATTCTAGTAGTAGCTTCATAGAAAAGTCATTCTAAAATAACTTTAGGTTTTTGAGAAAAAACATTCATTGTGATTGGTTTTAATCTTCATTCTAAACATCAATCTTTGAAAAGGTTGAACTTCTTCTTGATAAATGATTTTTTAATAGAGTATAAAAATTATTGAATAAGATAAATTAGCACTGATTTAATTTTTTTGATTTTAGGTCAGTTTATATTATTAATATATTACTACAAATAAATATTATTAAACTATATACCTTATGTATCTGTACAAAACATCCTAAATTTATTTATAAGCAATGAAAATATTTTTTCTATAAATATTTATCTATATCTCACAAAAAACTATTCTAAAGTAATTGGGTAATTGGATAATTGCTTAGCTCATAGAGATTGCTATTAGGCTTTTGCATGTTGTTGTACTAGCTTCCAAGGATGTGGATTGATGTTGTTGGCACCAAGGAAGTGATGGAATCTCTTATGTGTTGTAGTATTATGGATTGTACGAGTTACTCAAATGGAGTTTTTTTCATATCAGTTGTTTTTGTGATATAACAAGTACTCAACTATCTTATGTGGTAGAGAGTTGATACAAGAATTTATTATGGATGCTTGGATAATAACAAAGAAAAATCAATGATACTCATGTATCTTTTAGAACACATTAATTAGATTTTCTTCTAGTCCTTACATACGCTCATTGATATTGTAG